CACAGAGATTTAAAAAAGATCTCATTTCTGATACGGAAAGCTTCGACTGTCTTTGCCAATAAAAGTCTTTTAAGCCGTTTTTTGTTGTGTTTTTTAATCCTGTGGTATCCTTAAGTCTCTCTACTTTATATCTCTTCATTACCAAAACTCTGCCAAGTCCCAGAACCTTAAAAGCCCGTCTCCCGTCCCCGACCCATTCGAAATGTGACAGCAAAGCTTTTAGCCGGGCTCTGGCTACTTCTGGACTTGATTTTAATATTTCACATAGCAGGGTTCACCTCAGTCTTGCTCCTGCCGTTATTAGTCCTTTACATCCCTGCGTGACCTGACACCACCGAGCTGTTTACTGAAACTGAAAGAGAAAGTCAGACGTACAAAGCTACAGTACAGAAGTTCTGACCCTCATCATTATCTTGGTTCTGGGCCCGTCGGTCTGGACTGAACAGTGATCAAACACCTGAGGTTGTCAGATGACTCTGCCTCGTGGCTATTTTTAGACGGTAATTGCCCTTTTGTTACAGCCTGGTAAACAAAAGATGAATCCAGAGCGATTATCTGGTTATGACTCTCAGCAGGAGTGCAGCCTCGAGCTCTGTCCTTTCAGAGCGACAGCAGCTCAGCCACATGCACTTCATTGCCTCTGCCATGTCATTAATGAAACCCCTAATTATTTCACTAAGCTGACAGCAACCCAATGTTTGATCGATGGCGGGCTCTTTTGACCTATTGATGTACTCCATCAGTATCCAGTGAACACATGAGCAGGAGAACGGCCGTGGTGCTTCCTCCCTCCAGGGATCATGTGACCGTAGATAGGGATCATCAAACAGGAAGGCTCTGAACCAGGCAGTCAGTTAGGAGGCATCCTGGAGATCGTCCTGTTGATCTGGAGAAGCCTAAACACTGAATAATACAGCCTTGTCCAAACAAACAACCAATTTAGTCTGCTATTGAGGAAGAGCCATCATTTCCAAAAGCTTATTACCTCATAATTGACTCCTTTTTCCCATGAATCTGTCCCTCGTCCAAACCTCTGCTTAGAAATCTGATCTAAGCCTACAGCAGACGTTCCTTTGCCACCTTGGCCGTGCTAATGTTTTAATTTGGAGTTTTTAGCCAGCCTGACCTGCCTGGAGGTTGGTTTCTAGTTTATGACGGACGGTTCTTTCACATGCTCGTCTTATTGACATTTGAAGCACGCACATGCCACTGCCATTTCTGGAACATGAGCACGTTTGTGTTTGCCTTTCAGCCTCAGCATCTGCAGCGGTCTGCTGCTGGAGACGGTGAGAAAAATGATAGAAGCAGGACAGGGTGCTAAATCCTGCTCTGTGTCAGGTTAGAATGGATTTCTGTCTCAGCAGACGTATCGACACACCCAGCTTATTTCTGAACGCCTTCAACAAGCAGCTCTGCTCCACCGTCCTTCTTCACAGCTCCCCCTTCCTGCTCTGACCTCAGCCGGCTCACCAGCAGGGGTCCCTTTTATCTCTGAGGAAAACAGGTGGTTATGATTGTTAGTCAGTGCTAATATGATGTGAGGGCTTCTACCTCCATGTGTTTTCTATTTGGAATGCTGCATTTGCTAACACGCACAGTCAGGTTTGGGAGGGACGCGGCAGATATTTCTGGTTACGCCTGCGACGCTGCTCAAAACACCACCACCCACTCCAGCTCAGCTGTTTCGGGTCATTCCACAGTACGGGCCATGTGGCGCTCTGACTTTATCCCACGGAGGGACTCTCCACATGACTCAGAGCAGCAGTCTAAAAGTGATTACAAGATTGTGTGATTCTGTAGACGTTATTACACAACTCCCAGTTAGGCAATAAACACAACGCATACCTCCTCCTTCCCGTAACAATGATAAACGCGCTACGCCGCTGACACTTCTCACTCACGGGTCTTTATTTGTACCAAACAGATGCTGAGCAGCGAGTGACTCCTTTCTGCTGTGCGCCCTGTCCTACTCTGCCATTTACTGTCTCGGCAGTAAAATGTCAGACTGTATGTGATTTGCCCACGGGGGCCGTACATGCCATTCAGAGAGTGCTCTAAACATTTGCTCGCAAGCTTTGGGTGGGTAGGGAAACATCTGACAAAAAGCACCTCCTCGGGGAGCCACTATCAGCAGTTATCTTGGGGCGTACCGACTCCTGCCATGCCAAACGGCTACGCCACACATGCCAAACAATGGGAAAAGTGCCGACACTTGGCTCTCATTTAGACAAATGTTTGAAGAGCGTGCTGGGTAGCGTCATCCGACCAGCACCCCGTCATGTGCGGGTTTGTGGATGTTCAAAGCTGCCTGAGTGATGCAATACCGGCACATAGAACCCTCAACAACTATGTGGTGGACAACCGTCTGCCTTATCTTATCCGTTCAGATAAAGAGGGGGCTCGGATCGGATCAGGCTGACAGCCACGAGTGAAAACAAAGATAGTGCGAAGTCATAAACCTGTCAGTTATCCAGGAAGAGAAACTGATTTCAATAATCTGTGAAAGATAACTGGGTCTAGAACAGCCTCCTGTCCGGGTCGTAGCTGTGAGCGATGAGGTTTTCATCACAACATCTTTCGTTGGCTTTATTTGCTGTTGTCCATACGCACATTCCTAAAAAAGCAAAATCGCCTTAATGTCATAACGCCTCAAATACATCAACGTCTGCACGTGTTTCTTGTGAGAAGTCAAAGCAGGGATCCCAGAACCTATATGTGCTCTGTACTGATCCGTTCTGAGCATCTTCCAGCTCCGCACATATCTTGGCTGCAGTGTTGGCAGGAAGGAATCTGGCAGATGTCCTCTGATAGTGCGCACCACTTTCTGTGGAATATTTTAAGTGAAATTTCTCAGGTGAAGCCAACAATGGAAAATGTCAATGCATTCCATTAGCTCAGATTGGAAAGTCTGCTGTAAGCATGTGTACTTAAAATAACAATGGGCCTCGTCTCTGGCTCCGCTGACAGATGACTGGGCTGATATTTGCAGCTATGTTCGGTCGCGCTGGCTTTAGCCTTCGCTTGGAAAGGCTGCGTGGCCATTAGGATGATCGCTACCCAAAGATTGCCATGAATTGAAAATAACAAGCACACAAACAGCACAGAGCGTGGCCCACAGGAAGAGGAGCAAAGCGAGCGACACGAGCGCTGCTCGCTGGATTTCCTCATCGCTTTGTGAAGCATCAAAAACTAAATGTGGAGCAGAGATTTTTGAAAATGCAAGAAGCATTCTAATTACAGTCAGTACCTTTTAGAGATCAGTGTTGATCAGCACCAATTAGTAATTCATAACAGGGCCCGTGGCCAAGTCCAGTCCAGTCGGATTTGTCCTGTTTCTAAAGGCAGGGCGATGCTGGCTGGGGGCCAGCTGACCACATGGCTAAGCCCTGTCCAGCAAGACAAAAGAAATTCTTAATTCTTTACCAGCTCACTGCCCCCTCCCCAAAAATGCCGATTGTGCTGCTATCATGGCCTGTCACAGATTTACTCAGAGGAACTGACTCTGAGACGTATATCTGAGAAACACACAGAAAAACAACGACTAAATAAAAACTGCTGCAGCCTGGAAGTGTGTCAAGAGAGACAGTGTGTGGAGCAGATTATAAACAAGCTCCGCTGCTATTCCTAATTAAAGCAAAGAGAATAAGCCTATTCACACACGTGAGAGATCACAGGAAAGGTTCTTATGTCTGTAGCTCCCTTTGATCTGTACGTCTGTCCTCTCACACCTCGCCTAAGCTCAGTCCAAGGGGAGAACCTGGCAGCCCGGTTCAGTCAAGCTGCTGTGGAGAAAACAACCAAAGCGCAGCTCTTCATGCATGCACAGCACAGACAGCAATCTGAACACATGTTACACCCAAAATAAAATACAGCATGACTCCATAAATTAAATCAAACCTCACACTACAGGGCCCCGGATAGGATGGTTTATTAATTCAATCAGTCTATGATTAAGTTTATTTTTTAGCTCGATGAAAATCTGCCTTCATTTCCATTTATTCAAATTTTTATTCTAACAGATCAGAAGCTGGTTATCAGATAAATCTGCTCACAGCACAGCAACAAGTGTTTCACTGCTTTTCTCCAAGACATTAAAACATAACACGTGAAGGGCTGCTGTGCATGATTAAGAACCCAGCTCTGCTCTTACAGGTGGCCGGCTGAACCGGCTCCGGTTCGGTTCGGCAGCAGCAGCGGGGCGGGTTCGGAGCAGGAGGGAGGCAGATGAGGGAGAGAAGTAGGGAGGAGGGGGAGAGGAGGACACTGCCTGGCTGGCTCCTCCCGCGGTCAGCCTGCCCGTTACTCCGCCGCAGGACGAACCGTTACCTCCGCATCACTACGTCCAGCATCGTCCGCGCGACCGCCGCGGCTCCGCAAACACGCGCTAAATAGTTTAACGGCACCAAACCGCCTTTTGGTCCATTTTTAATTCACACACAGTCCGCCTCCGAACTTGGGAGGAACTTTTGTCGGAGTGAGGACACGCACACACACACACACACACACACACACACATAGAGACAGACTCACAAAACGTGGTGGCTCAACCAGAACCGAACCGAGGCGCGTTGAGCCCAGGTAGTCGTGCTAAATGCTAACATGTGGTCGCGCTCGGACGTGTTGTGTTTTATTCCCACTAAACAGAACCGCTGAGGGAGTCCGGACGGTTTGAGCAACAATAGCGGCTCAACGCGGCGCGTCCGCAACTCATCAGGACTCTAAGTTCAGCCGAAAATGGCGACTACATTTATCATTTCTCTGCCACAATCTCCAACTATGTTCACTTCACAGCGGGCAGAGCGAGCTGGCTGTCAGTCTGCCCCGAGTTTACCACACAGGGGTACTTCTGAGGCTTTCCCACCTCGCGTTGGGGTAAAAAAAAACAAAAATAAAAATAAAAACCGGAGCGCAGAAGTAGACAGAACCGGACCGTCTCCTTTATAAGAGAGCAAACAGCAGCCGGAGGAAAGAGCTTCTCTTTTTGTCTTTTTCATACTTACAGTGAGTTGAGAGGAGAGTCAGGAGGCAAGCCAGACGTGTTTGCGCCATCTTGGAGTCGATGCGATTGCTCGCTCGGACTGGCCGTGCATGCGCAAAGTAGCCCAGAGAGCGTCGCGCGAGGGAGAGAGACCTAGAGAGAGACTGGGGGAGAGAGAGAGAGAGAGAGAGAGAGAGAGAGGGAGGGAGGGAGGGAGGGAGGGAGGCAGGGAGGGAGGGGGCTCTATTATATTAGGTTTCCATGGCTACCGAAAGCATCACTCACCCCAGACAAGAATTTATAGTTGACACGGTGTGGGAGGCTTTTACTACTGTGGCCTTATACTGTAGGCAGGCAGCAGCTGGGAGCTCAGATAGGAAGCTCCAGTCTGTCATGTGGAGGGGAGATTAACAACAAAGCATTCTTTAGAACATCATTTTGCTTGTTAAAGTGAAATGGAATGGATAATGTCAATATGTATACTAGCAAACAGGTAACGGAAGCTCAAATTAATCTGTAATTACGGCTCCTGGTCATTTAAACTTCCACTGACAGAATGTTAAAAGCCAGCAGGCTTTAATAAAAATATTCCCTTAGCACTTTTTTTTACTGGTTGTAAATCTGGGCCCTGTCACGGACCGTAAGCCCGCTCACGCTGTACGTCTGATCCCAGTGACAGGCACAGCAGTCATGTCAAGCCAAAGCTCTCTCACTTTGTTCACAGGAAAGAACAATCCCAGTCGTGTGAAGTCCTGTTTTTGTCACATCTTCCTGGATACCGTCTGCTCCGTGTGCCTCCAGTCGTGGGGACATGCGTTGCTTACATCGAGCAGGTCTGTCCCACTGAGCCCTGTTATAACTCTGTGATGACAGCTGGTGCGGCCTGGAACATGCTCCCCAACCCATATCTGTGACATAACCTGTCCAGGCTAAACATGGCCTGGACTGTATACCTGCGGCCATGTGGTGCAGGAATCCCTCCTATCACCAACATTAGACATGATCAGCCAGTGGATGTCAATACCGGATCAATACTGCTGCCCTAAAAGTCAAATGTGAGATAAATGCAGTGCTGGCTGAATACATTATCACCGCAGCAATTACATCTAAATATAGACGTATGTCTGATTTGGCTAGAAAGCTCTGAATTGTGTTACGTAACACGTGTAAATGTATAATTCAGGTCAGATTCTACATGAATCAAGTGTAGTGACGTTCACCATGTGGCTGACGTCAGGCTTCAGAGATGTGAGTTATCGGTCGATATGTTGTGTCAAAATACTGAAATCGTCTTTTTCCACGAGGACAAACGGGGCGTTATATAAACGGCATGAGCAGTCTGAAGTCAGTGTGAAGGAACACGTATAAATCACACCCGTCCACCGCCGTGACTGCAGAGGATTAATTAGGCCGTAGCTCTGAATGTGTAATTACTGGATGAAACCAAAGATGTTTACTTGGAGGTGCACCTTTCACAACATTTGGGACGACATAAAACTTTGCACACATGATGTAAGTAGATGCTGAACGCGGCGCTGGAGAACCAGGAGAAGAACTCACAGAGTACCGCTATCGGAAATGATTCTGCCATTTTGTGAGTTGGCAGGATAAAGCACAGTTGATCCTTAGCTGTTCCAGTTTTTACTTTACTTTTTATTATTTATTTATTTTGGAGAGCTTTAATCCTGTCACAGTCCTCCTGCTACATCATTCAAAATGAAACAAAAAAAAAATCCCCTAATAAAAACGTAATATCTGCCGTTACCGCCGCCGTTTAGTAACTGTGCAGTGTTGGAACAGCTTAAATGTGTTGCAGGCTTGGAAATAACATAACAGCGTATTTTTAGACGACACGTCTCTCACATTGTCTGCTGTGTCGTTAGCACCGTTGTAATGTTTGAAAACTCACAACGTACCTGCAGGAATCACTGAGATCTATCAGCACACACCGGTGGAGCTGAAACCAGACGGATTTTAATGTCTGCTCTTCTTACAACACTGCTGAATACACACATACTTCCTTACAGGGTCTGAGGCATCAGCACCGTGGATCACGAAGGTTTATCACTGACACTGAACATCTCAAACGTCGCTGCTATTTGTAAACCTGCAAACTAGTTCAAGCCTTTTCTCTGTAAAGCCGGCTCCGCTTTCTGTGCTGCTTTATGTCTGGAAAACCTGGTGGAAAATAACAGATCGTGGAAGTGTGATTTTTTTTTTCCTCCTCGTCTTGTTGAGGCAAACAGAATTAGACCAAAGGGCTTTCATGTACTCTGCTCCCACAGCCCACGGGGAAATGATGTACGAGTTAAAGAGCCAGACTCTCTGAGTGACTTCTAAATGACTATAGAGGAGGATGTCAAGGCAGATTCAATAAGAAACTTCTTAGTCAATATTTGGTTTAAACCTTTTCAGCCTCCTGTGAGGTGTAGCTGCTCTGCTGCCCTTCCACTGCTTGCATGATCTGTATGAGACTTTAATTTAGCTTTTGCTCATGTCATTATGCTACGTGTGCACAGCAAAACGTCTGTCACAGTGTCTCGGTCAAATGTTTCTTGTTATTTAATCCCAGTGACCCGACCCGGTTGAATAAAACACAGAAGAGGGCATTCACTGAAACCTTCAAGCTGGAACAAACCCCCCAAATGAAAAATATGTCATCAGTGAAATTTCCTGCTGAGGATGCTCTTTGGATGGACATTTTTTGACTCTTATTTCATCCATTCAGCTGTAAGGTGGGCCTTTGCTGGTCGTAGTTCCTGCATGGTTGGCGTCTCTCTCAGTAAACAGTCATCCATGGATCAGCCAACCAGATGGTAACAACTAATGGCATCCCAATGGACCTGAAATTCCACCCTTAGTCTTTTATTGCTGTCATGCCATGTTAATCCTGCACTACAAACAAAACATGGCAGCACCTTCAGTACACCGAGCAACACAACAGGCATGCAATAGGAAACAGTTTGTCTTTAAAGTGCTGGTGGAAAAATACATTCAAATTGCACTGTGCCGGTCAATAGGATATAAATAGCATATTTTTCCTGCATAGAAAGATCTATTTTGTATCAGCTCAAAGCATGAACTCCTCATTATTATTGTTGTGCAAATGAGAGTCACGAGACTGTATGCAGCCTTTGTGCCTGGCTGCTATCACTGCTGCCAGATGCAGGCATCACTGCCGTCAGGTCAGCAGCTCCAGAGCTGAGCATGCCCTCCAAGAATGTCTTCCTTTCAACGTCTTGTTTTATACATGCATCAGGAATTAGATCACCGTGTAACCAACAATCAAAACATAATCTCCACAAAATGAGATGACAATAAGGTGAAGATAAGTGGGTGATCTGCATACTTACACATTTAAGAGATTCAAAACAGAGAAAATAGGCTTCACTCTCCAGGCACATTTCTAAGGTCCTGCAAAATGAAACAGAAATTATTCACATGACAGTTTACATTTTTGTTTATGTGCTGTCTGTCTGAGCTTGTCACACCCTGGTTCATACGTCTTAACTGGATTGTGGTACGTCCTGCAGCAGTGTGGAGAACATCCCGTCACATATGCTCGCCGTACAACCTGCAACTGGATATCCAGAAATACACAAGTACTGACTTCAGTGTTTCATTCTTTGATGACTTCAGAAACAGAAAACATCCATCACAGGGGCTGGAGCCTATCCCAGCTGACTCAGGGTGAAGGCAGGTTCACCTGGACAGGTAACCAGTCTATCACAGGGCTACACTTAGAGACAGACAACCAAGCACACTCACATTCACACCTACGGACAATTTACAATCACCAATTAACCTCAGCATGTTTCTGGACTGTGGGAGGAAGCCGGAGAACCCGGAGAGAACCCACGCTGCACGGGGAGAACATGGAGACTCCATGCAGAAAGATCCCGGGTGTCCTCACCGGGATGCCAACCGGCGACCTTCTAGCTGCTAACGATGCTAACCACCGAGACACCTACAGCCCAAGAAAACATTTCCATCATATATTATAATGTAAATGACCTCATCATCTGACCTCATCACTGAAGTGGAGCCAACGCGGTGACGTCCAGAGTAGCTACGTGGGTGGATCGTGGGTTTCAGAGGCGTTAATGGTCAAACACATCACCTTCAGTTTTGTCTGAATTTAGAAGTAGGAAACTACCTTTAGCTCTTTAAGACATGCTGGAAGAAGTGATTGGTTTAATCCAGCTTCATAGATAAATGAAGCCGGGTTTCCTCGTCCTACTAACACTGCCTAAAGGAAAAGTATTGGTCCTGGTTCAAAACCCCGTGGAACCCATGACTAACTTCTGTGTGTGCAACAGAGTCGTTGTTAACTTGAACAAATGGGAATGTGTCTGATAACTATGACTCACACCAGCTTTAATCCAGACGACATGCTCCAGTCTGTGCAACAACATGCTGTGATCAGTGGTGTCAGAGCAGCGCTGAGATCTAACAGGACACGAGACGAGCCAGCGGTCAGAGGCTTCAGACGGTCGCTGGCAACTTTCAGCGGCGCTCTTTCTGTGCTGTCATGTACTCTAAACAGCGACAGAACATATTCAAACACACAAGATCACAACACTTTCCTCATGTCACGTGTCAGTTAAAGCTGTAGATGCTGCACTGATGTCTTTCTGAGTGTCCCGGTGATGTACGGTGAAGCCGGCCGGTGCAGCTGCCACGGTGCTGAGTGTGTTTCTTCTCACTTTGTGTTGTTGTTCTGCCACTTTCTATCCACAACAGAGGTGTCACCGTGTTTAAGAAGTTCCCCATCATAGCTTTCTGTGCTAAAGCCATGCTAATATAAACCAATTAGCACTAACCACAGCGTGAGGATGCAGTGATGACTGTGGCTCAGGTGGTAGGGAGGGCTGTCCACCTGAGCACAGGGTTGGCGGTTTGACTCCGCCCCCTCTACGTGCCAAGGTGTGTTGCACCTTGCATGGCAGTTTATATGCATGAATGAGTGAAAGATACACTAGAAAACATGTTGTAGAGCCTAGATGATGGTTTCAGTGCAGACCATTTACCTGTTCAAACATTTTACTCAAACCACAAAAGGAAAAGTCCGGCGATGAATGAAAAATGAGGGTTTGCACAAACCGTCCTTTTGCTAGACGATGCACAAGATGGACAA